TTAGAATTTTAAAGTCTTTGCCTCACTGTCTTTCATGTTGCTATTGAGAAGTGTGATAGCATTTTGATTAATTTTTTTTTAGTATTAAGTCCCCCCCCCCCTCCCCTCCTCACCCGGAACTGTTAGGACCAAAGAACTAATAGAAGGAAATGTGTCAAAAATAATGTGTTTCTTTTTATTGAAAAGCTCACTTGAAAATGACCTAAACCAAGATACATTGTTGTGAAATTTCCTAATAGTGCCTCATATCCCTATACTTAGAGCGTCTCTGATTCAGTTTCCGCATAGAATAAACCTCCAACCTCTTGCAGGAGTAGGGAGAAATAGTTACCTGTTTATACAGATGGGGGTGGGAATATGGGTCCCTAAATATTTTTAATTAAATATAATTTCAGCCCTTCTCTATACCCTTCCTCTGAGGTTTCCGGTAGCTGAATTCTTAAAATTTTCTGGGATTCTGTGAGAGCAAAGAGACTTACTTTCTGATAACCTCTTGCCATTTCCTCTCCTCATGCATTTAAGCTCTTCTCTGTTCAATAATTTATCATTTTCCTTCAATCTGATTTCTATCTAAATTGTGGCTCAAGTTACAGAATGGTGATAGTAATTTCATTAATGATGGAGTACAATTTTTCTGTTTCTTGGGGGTGTGATTTTTTTTGGGGGAAAAAAGTGTTAAAATACCGCTATCTGCCCTCTTCACCTGGAAGTCCTCTACTTGGCCTTAATGATTTTTCTAAATTGTGTTTGCAGAATATATAATTTCTCAAGTTCATTATCCTTTAAAAAAAGATTATATAAATTGCTCACCAGAAGTGTTACTGAATTACATTCTATAATTGCATTAGCATCTTCTAATTGTACATTAACATACATAACTAGAAATGAGCTTGTAATTAAGCACTCAGACCTGATAAATCATAATCATATTGAAATTTATAAGTTAAATAGAAAAAAATAAATAGATTACTTGAAAATAAACTGTTCTAAGATTCTGATATACATTGACAGATAAAACATATTTATCCCACTGTTAAAAATCAATACCTTATTTCCTGGCTGAGATGACTATATTTTATTGCTGGAATTATTCAACAACAGCATTTTGTAGGGCAAGGTGCTTAGCATGGACAGTTTTTGCTTTTTAATGTAAAGTGTTTTTCCACAGTAATGGCCTTTTCTGTAATACTAGTGGCTCGATGCACGGATTCGTGCACATTGAAAGGAAATCAATTAGAAGAAATACTTTGATATCCCTATTTGCACTTTCTCTGTCATAGAAGTGTCAGAGATGAAAGAAACACTGCAGCCTCGGGTCCCCCAGCACACCCTCAGGTCCCCAGGGCCAGCACTGGGGTCCCTTGGTCCCTTGGCCTGGGGCCGGGGGGCGCGGCCAGAGGTCCCCTGTCAAGCCCTGCCGAGCGGGGTCATGGCTAGAGGTCCCTTGGCCCGGGGCGAGGGGCATGGCCTGAGGTCCCCTGTCAAGCCCCACCAGATGGGGGGCACAGCCTGAGGTACCCCGTCAAACCCCACCGGGAGGGGGTGCAGCCTCAGGTCCCCCGTCAAGCCCCGCTGGGCGGGGAATGCAGCCTCAGGTCCCCTGGTGCACCCTCATGTCCCCCAGCCTGGTGCCGGGGCAGGGGATGAGGCCTCAGATCCCCCAGCCTGGCGCTGGGGCGGAGGTCACAGCCTCAGGTCCCCCGTCAAGCCCTGCCGGGCGGGGGGCACAGCCTCATGTCCCCCGCCCCGGCACCACGCAGCCTCAGGTCCCTGCTGATCGCTCGTTACGGGAACCTTGCCTCTGGTGCAGGCGCAGTCATCTTGTGATGGTGTGACGGTCAATTTGCATATTACCTCTTTATTATATAGGACTAGAGGCCCGGTGCACGAAATTCGTGCACTGGGGATGGGTGGGGGGTCCCTTAGCCCAGCATGTGCCCTCTTGCAGTCCGGGACCCCTCCCTTGTTACTGCCCACCTGCTTGCTGCTTCCTACCGCTTGGCTTGCTGCTCCTTAGTTCTGCCACGAAGGCCTTGGGTCTGCTGGGTGTCAGGCCTGCGTGTTTGTGTCTCTGATACCCACAGCAGCCCCAGCACCAAGGTGGCGGGCCTTGGGGCTGCTGGGTACAGGCCCCCATTGCATGTTTGTGTCTTCTATCAGGCCCCCAGCAGCCCCAGCAGCCCCAGCAGCCCCAGCACCACCTAAATAACGTAAGGGAAACTTTATTTAGTCTTCTTTTAAAAGCAACCTAGTTTAAAAATGAGTTGCAGTTAAGAAAGAACAAAGAACATGGTACCTAAGAGTGAGATAGACTGACAGAGGAGAGGCTGGGCACTGGTCAGGGGCTTACATGCCAACTGTTCTCCACCTGGGAAATGATGTAAAATCGGTTTCTTTAGTTTTCTGCTTAATGGTCTTCTCCAGCACTGAGGTCAGAGGAGCCGCCTTCCAGCCCGTAGGCTGCTTCTCAGAGTCAAAATTTTCGCCATAGGCCTCTGCCTAGGACAGGACCTCTGCACCCCCAGGGTGCATAAACACACAGGGCTTCCATCAGGCTCCCCTGATCCCAGCCAGGAGGCCTCTCGGCTCCGCTGATCCCGAAGCCGGGAGGCCTCTTCGCTCCGCTGATCCCGGGGCGGGAGGCTCTCGGCTCCACTGATCCCGGCCTGGCTGGCCGCCATCTTGGCTGACAGTTAATTTGCATATACTCACTGATTAGCCAATGAAAAGGGTAGCGGTCGTACGCCACTTACCATGTTTCTCTTTTATTAGTGTAGATTATTATGAAATGTACAGCAAATATCACTTCCAAAAGGACTTACACATTTTTAGTTGGTGTTAGAAAATTATGACCTTGAAATATGTAAGAATATGCCACAATAATTTAGCACCTATAAGCCAAAGAAGGATAAAGAGACATATGGCCAATAGGCTGGGAATTTTGTAAATTGAGAGAGGAATAAATGGGCAGCAATGTCTCGCTACCTGATACATTCTGCCTGGTGTGCTGGTAACATGGGCACTGTCTCAATAACTCATTTCATGGAGGAAGCTTTAATCTTTTCCTGTTTATGTGCACTTTAAGGTGCACATAAATATATATTTAATTTTAATTTACTGGATCAGATGTCAGCATTTTCCTGAATTTCTTTATGAACAGTTACCTTATTAATAGTTTTCTTAAAGTTTACTTCTCTTTTTATAGGCTTGGCTTGAGAGAACCAATCTAGATTGTATCTACAAAGGAAACAAATTACATACTCTTTAGGCTGTAAAAAATAACAACAAACTCCACAAATTTCAGTAGCTTATATTTAAGAAATGACCTTCACTGGAAAAACATCAGAAGCACGACCAACGGTCTGAGCATCTGAACCTGGACAAGAGTTCCATTAGATGAGCCCACTGAGTCTGTCATGTGAACACATACAGCTGGGAATGCACACGATCACAACCTTCCTGGAAAGTGATTTGGCAAATGTATTAAGAGTCTTAAACATCTTGATGCATAAGATATTCATCATAGTAATA